CCAATAGCATCAGTCAGTGATGGTCAACCACACAATGCCGAAATCTGATCCATCCTCCTGCGAACTTCGCAGTGCGAAGACGATTCAATAGGTATCGCTTTTATAGCGTTCAGAATCGCTCTTGATTATCGCAGTGTACAGTACTCGGTCATACCATTCCTAGAGTACGTCTCGAGTGTCGTGTTAGGTATGTACAGTAGGGATATACTCTGTGTGCGGAAGATTATCCGTTCCGAACACACCACGCGCTTAACTCTGGACCTATCAGTCCTAGAATCGAGCACAAGTCGGTGAAAGCATTGAAATGCGGATCCACGGGCAACCACCCAAAAAGCACGACGCAGTTACGAAGATCACTAACATAGTTTATCTTGCTCAGCAAGGTTCGATAATGTTGGACACGAGTTTGATAATCCATCGGAGCTCGAGAGTTCACCCGAGTATGACGACTGACCACTAGCTGAACACAACGCAGTTGATACAGCAAATGACATACGCATTGCTCAGAATGTACATCCTCTACTTTGCTAACTGCACATCAACTTTCCCACGACTGCATTCGTGCATCCTTGAATATTGTGTAGAACAACCGCAGCGATGGACCAGATCCGCAAGGCATGCTGGATGCTGCTGAGGATCAATCCGCCTCACACGGAAGCGATCCCGGTTTGAGACTCGGACGTCGAATGTCTCAGATAGATGATCCCTACTCGAATGCCTCAGAGCTTGTCCGAACTGCCACCGGTGCGTCGCCGACTCGCTCTTCTACGTCTATTCTGTTTCTTCCTCGCCGGGTCACTTTTAGTCGCTCGAGTACTCCCTCTCGAACAAGAAGTTTCAACGGACGCAGTGTGGGAACTAGAATCGATTCGCTTGCGAAACCAGGCTTCAACATCATCGTCCTGCACTCGTGAAGTACCCTTCACAGCCAGGCCGCTAGATCCGACTCGCGCCTCACGCAATTCCGGTACAAGTCGGCGACGTCTTTCCTCACATATCACGACGGCATCATTCAAGAGTCTGCGTCCTAGCTTCGAAGCCCGATCGCCAGCTTGAATGCTAGAGAGGCAACCCCGGGCATAATCCAACCAGATATCAAAGTCGGGCCATTGTTTGTCTGATCTACGGCTCCACGGCTTGTCAGTGACGAAATGGATCGCTAACGGCGTGATGCCTGAAAGAGATGCTTACTCAGTTCTAAACCGTTACTCATGATGTTGCAGTGACCACCTCTAGTCTGAGCATGCCAGTATCGACAACAGAATGCTTCCTCCAGATGTCTCCACTTATCCTGGAAATGGAGACTGAGGAGCCACTCGTCGGGACCAGCGTTGCATTTCGGATCGCCGCACCTACGATCAATCAATGAAAGCGAATTCATTAAACTCTATGACGGCACGTAGATAGAACACCGAATCTCACAAGAAGCTCACGCGCTAACTTTGTAGCACCTCGAGGATCCGATAGCACAAGAGTGTGAAACGAGGGAATAAGATGCTCATCACTGGGAACAGTCTGTGATCTCAGTGGCCAATGCATAATCACACGAGAATGAGCTGAGAGGCCCACTGAACCGCTATACTGATGCATGCATAGAACACAGATGAGGTTACTTGAACTTGCCACAACGGGAAGTATGGTGCGCACAGCACTCAATAAATCGCAGCTGTCACAGAAATGGTTAACGACCGAAGTTTTCCCCAGCGAAAACTCTCAACTGAAGGTGAACATTCCCTCAGCTCACCTTCCAACGTATCCATCCTTTTGTGACTCCTTCTCAGCCACTCGATCGAGGCACTTTCGGAAATGCTTGGCACCAGTGGGTAGTACCATGAGGCAACCCCGCATACCATATGATAACGCCAAGGCTCTCCTCAGGGATGCTGCGGGTACTTTATCACCAGTCTTGAGAGCCCGTAAGCGACCTTCTTTACCATCCAGCTTGTTCGCTTCGTCGCTACATATACCAGAAGGCGCTGGAGCAGTCAGCACCCGCGCGAAGAGATCATCAACCACCAAAACGTCAGCGTCGACAAAGACCACTTTTTGATAGCCTAATTTATACAGATTGAACACATGCAGTTTGGTAAGGCAAGAATCGATCCAAGAATCGTAGTGGCCTCCATAGCGCTTCCACCGCTTACCCATGGGCTCAGCCAGGATGGGGTCGACCTGAATCACATTGTCGAACACACATCGAAGTGCTTCGACATCGGCCATGCTGCGGTCCACAATACAAACCAAGTGGAACGGTACAGCGCTCTTAGCACAGTGTCGCCGAACGGAATGAGCCATGACCATAGCGCCTGCTATATAGGAAACGTCACCCATGACCAGGGTAGCGACGCATACATCTGGGTGTGGCGGGGGATCGGACATAGAGGAATACTATCCCCGACGCAATGGAGACCGATGTTCAGATAACGCAGCGTCATAAAGCATATTGAGACGGAGTTCATCACGGGTCATGCGGCAGCATCCAAGTAGTTTACAACGCATCCCTCACCAGTTCCACGACAGTCATCATCTCCCGCTAGTTACTTCGGTCTACGGACCCTTTCGTTCCCACTCGGTCACGCGGAGAGTCTTCATCAGTTCCCACCGCCCAACGATAAGCGCGATTACGATACCGCGCCTAAAGCCAATACTAGGAGAGGGGACCGCGTTAGCCCACCATAATATCCTCAGCATGCGTATCAGTCGGCTCGATAATTCTATCGACGACGGCCTTCTTTGCAGCCATTGAAGTGTCCACCTCAGGCTGATAGGGAATTTGGAACGTATAGGACAGGGCGACTGGCAACTGAGTTACAGTCAGTCAACCGCTGTGTATCATATAGCACTCCAACTCGGGTCGGACCTACTCGGGTGAGAGGACTTGGATCCCAAGGAGGGTGAGTGTGCGCCTCAGGTTTAAATAGGCCCGGCTTGGTCTGAGCGTGGCCAGGATACTGAGATGAACTGTGAGCGATGGCTTTCCCTGTTGCCTCCACCGGTCGTGGCAATGGAGGCGCCTGTCATGATGCGCATCAAGGAGGGACTGAGAGCCCCTATTAGTTCCACCTGCCGAGACTCTATAGATCGGCTTTCTCTTGGCACGATGTCTCCGCTTACATCGAGAACCTGGATCAACGAGCATGTTTCTAGCAGCAACATAGAGTATATCCAATGGAAAGTACCCTCAGCTCGCCGCGATGCTCTCGCCGCATACGGGCTCTTCATATGCCCCGACCCTACTACAGACGCATCGATCAAAAAGTAGCTGTTTCTCATTTCACACCTTGTTTCTTCGGCGAAGCTTCGTGACTGATCTTTCGCTGTCCTTTTGTCTTGGACTGCCGCTTGACCTTCCCCTTCTCTGGCGGGCTGGAACTCCGCAGTGCTCCCAATCGCTGCTGGGGTCCGCTCTTATCACGGGTGACATCTGAGGTTGTCACTCACGAAACACTGTGGTCCGCGAGCCCACCCGGGAGGATCTCGTTCCTTCCCCACTGCTCACGTGAATCGCCGGGAGGATGACGAAGGCTTTCTGCAGACATGAACGGCGCCGTCGTACCCTCAATGTGGCGCACACCGATAGATGACGAAGCTCTTCCGTCCGCCATATCTAGCAGGAACTCGCCGGAACACGTATGAGAAAGATTCTCAAAACATTACGTATGGCAGAGACATCGCGTACGTTGCTAGAGGAGTGATCCGCACCTCCTATAAGCATGAACGATGTAGCCGTATCTTCCCGGGAGCTCTTCAGCAGCGCTCGTTCATCCGTTCCAACTAATCGAAGTTCGTCTGAACTTGTATCACAAGGAGCCTCAAGAGATTACCCTCCGCGACAGGGACCGCACGTGGATTGCCAGAGGCATGATCCACCCCTTCCGAACGCATGAGCGATGCAGCCGTATCTCCGACAGAGCGCACGCCAGTGGATAACGGAGGTCTCCCATCCGCTACAACTAGCAAAATCCGTAGGAACAAGTATTAAGATTCTCAGAACATTACCCCGCACTGCAGATAGATCGTCAGATGCAGGATCCGCACCTTCTGTAGGCATGAACCGTGCGGATGAATCGTCGATGGAGCGTTCGTCAAGCGGTAGCGGAGGTCGTTTATCCGTTTCGACTAGCCAGAGTTCGTCGGATCGCATATCGAAAGGAGTCTCAGAACATTACCCTCCCCGACTGGGACCTCCGGTAAATCACCAGAGGCATGATTCGCACCTACTGCCGATGAGTATGATGCAGTCATATCTTCACTGGAGCGCATGCCAGCCGATAACAGAGCTCTTTCATCCGTTCCAGCTAACAAAAAATGCGTCAGGATGTGTATCGAAAAGATCCTCAGAACATTACCCACACGAGCGGAGACCTCCCGTCGATCACCAGAGGGATGACTCGCACCTTCTGTAGAC